CTTCTGGGGGGCGGGGGGGCTGCGGGGATCGCGGCCGGGGTTGCTGCTGTCCTCTGGCCAGCGGTAGCTGCCCGTTCCTTCCAAGGGAGCCTGCGCAGAAAGGGGAGGGTCGCGCAGGCGTGATTCGAGTGCGAGGGGCTGCCTCAAGGGCGAAATGGCTGTCTCTGTCCCGGCCCAAGCGGCCTCGGGCAGTGGGGGAGCTGTGCCCCCGTTCCTTCCCCCAACTCCCGACAGCTCCCTTCAGTTCCAGACGATTTCTCCTCAACGCTGGAGTCCTACACGCGAGGAGGGCTGCGGGTCATCGCCCTGGCAAGCCGCCGGCTGGAGAGCAAATACATGTGGCACAAAATGCACCACGTTTCCCGGTGAGTTGCGGCCCCCCCGCGCCCTGGTGCTGCCCCCCTTTCCAGGGAGGCCCTTGCACGCCAAGCCCAGGCCCAAGAGCTGCCCCGCTTCCCCCACAGAGATGCCATCGAGCGCAACATGGACTTCCTGGGGTTTGTCATGCTGCAGAACAAGCTGAAGCCGGACACGGGGCCGATCCTGGCTGAGCTACGGCGGGCCGGCATCCGCGCCGTCATGGTGACAGGTGTGCTGGCGGGTGACAGGCTTAGTGGGCGGGGGGGACAGGATGTCTGCCCTTATGGTGTCGAAAGCTAGCTCTGCCCCCTTCTTTCCACCGGCCGGCCAAATCGTGACGCCAGGCAGTAATGGGGAGGGGGCAGTTCAAAAACAGGGGGCTACCCTCTTGCGTCCTTGAGTGGGGAGAGATCGGGGGTCTTGCTGTGATGGTGCTCAACTTTCCCCATCCTCCTGCTCCTCCTCCTCTCCGCGGCCCAGGAGATAACCTCTTGACAGCCGTTTCCGTGGGCCGTGAATGTGGCCTGATCCCGGCCAAGGGGAAGGTGGTTCTGACTGAGGCCCTGCCCCCCAGGGACGGGCAGCCCGCGACCATCCACTGGCAATACGCGGATGAGCTCCCCACGCTGGAAGCGGTGAGCGAGGCCGACAAGCAGGTGAGGGGCCCTTTCGGGCGGGTCCTGCCCCTCAGCCTGGGGGCCCTTTGGCAACGGTACACTTCCCCTCCTCTCTCAGGGGCCTCAGGAGATTAAGCTGATGGTGGATGGAGCAGACCCCGCTCCTGCTCCCCAGCCGGGCGTCCCAGAGATCAGCTACCACTTTGCCATTGGCGGAAAATCCTTCTCGGTCATCCTGGAGCACTTCCCTGACCTGCTGCCAAAGGTTTGGTCCTGCTGGGGGGGCTCTTTGCTCCCACCCAAAGGCCGTGGAGGGTGGGGTGCCGTGGCGCCTCGGTGGAGGGGGCGCAGGGTGGACCGGATGGCGTGCCAGAGCCCAGGAGCCCGGGTTCTCTAGAAGCTGCAGCTCCTCCTCTGCGTCGGGGCTGCTCAAGGGCCGAGCGCCAGCCGTGCCTCCCCGCCAAGCCCCAGCCATGCCTTTGCGTTGCAGTTGCTGCTCTGCGGCACCATCTACGCCCGCATGGCCCCCGATCAGAAGACCCAGCTGGTGGAGTCTCTGCAGAAAATGGAGTAAGTCCTGATGGGGGAGGCTGGTCCCAGCGGAGCAGAGCAGAGGGTGGTGGGAATCTCCTGACCCAGGTTCTCTCTTGCAGCTACTACGTGGGCATGTGTGGCGACGGAGCCAATGACTGCGGGGTAAGTTGTTCCAGAGAGCACCATGTCCCCCGGGCACGCAACCCCGAAAGGTTTGGCTGATCAGCTGAGTCTAAAGGGAAGTGGGGTTGTCCAAACTTTGCCGGCTCCAGGGGCAGGGTGGAAATCAGTCTCAAAATGCGAAGGGCTCCCTGGCTGAGGTCGGTCCTGTTTGGGCCCGTGGCATCTTTGCTGTGGTCCCACCCTTCTCTTGCCCCTGACAGGCTCTGAAGCGGGCACATGCGGGCATCTCCCTCTCCGAGCTAGAGGCCTCAGTGGCTTCCCCATTCACCTCCAAGACTCCCAGCATCTCCTGTGTCCCGGACCTGATCCGGTAGGTGGCCGCTGGCCGGCCGGCTTGCCCAAGAACCCCTTCGTGGGGAGGGGAAGGCCAGCCCTGGATTCACCAGGCGGCTTTTGCTGGGCGTCGGTCAGCGCCCTTGAAGATCCTTCTAAGAGCGCCTGTCTCCCCAGGGAGGGCCGTGCTGCCCTGGTGACGTCCTTCTGCGTCTTCAAGTTCATGTCCCTCTACAGCATCATCCAGTTCCTCAGCGTCCTGCTCCTCTACTCAGTGAGTCTCGGAGTTCAGGGATCCCTGCGCACGTGGTGTGTTTAGGGGAGCAGCTCAGGTTGGGGCGTGATGAGAGCTCTCCCCCTCTCTTCCAGATTCTGGGTAACCTGGGAGACGTCCAGTACCTCTTCATCGACATGGTGATCATCTTGTCTCTGGCCTTCAGCAGTAAGTGCTGCTCACCAAACGGGTTTCGGTTTTCGGGTTGTGGCGCGCGTCTGCCTCTTGCCTTTAGTTCTGCGCAAGCGCTTGTTCTGAGAAAGCCGTCTTGAAACTTCTGCCACGCTGGGTCTCCCGTTCTCTTGGCTTCCGTCAGAGGCAGAAGGCAGAGCCTCGTAGTGCAAGCCAAGAACGCAAACCGTTTCTGAGCTGGGGCTCAGGTCCTTGTTGTCTTGCCTTCAAATAATGTTGGTTATTTGGAAAGGATGCGACCAGAGGCCTTCTCTCTTGGGGTGTCGTTTGGTCTTTGGATCCACCCCATTCTGGCAGTGGTGGGCAGTCCAGCCCGCACGGCCACCCACTTGGGCAGAAAGGGGTGCTAAGGAAGCTTGCCGCGTTTATGTGCGGGAATTTGGAACAGCTGCTGTTCCGGTTGAAGCAGCAAGGACCTGGCCGTAGGGTTTCGGGGTGCACAGAGGGGGTCTGCTCCTTGACTGGGCCTGCCTCTGTCCCACCCTCCCCGTCTGCTGCTTCTCCCCCTCCTCCAGTGAGCCTGAACAGTGCGTGGAGGGAGCTGGTCCCCCAGCGGCCACCCAACAGCCTGGTTTCTCCGCAGCTGCTGCTCTCGGTGCTCTCCCAGATCCTCCTGTCGCTCGCCTTCCAGGTGGGGGCCTTTCTCCTTGTCCAGAGGCAGCCATGGTACCGCCAGGAGGAGGAGTAAGTGGGGGCCGCACGTGTGCAGGGCGGGTTTCAAGGGAGGGGAGGGAAGGGAATTTCACCACCTCCTTTTCTAGGGCAAGGGCGAGAGAGCCCCCCAGGGGAACTGGGATACTGAATCGACTGCTGTTGGTACCCCCTTTAGGAGCTGCGGCCTCCCCACCAACGGCACCACTTTCCCAAACGCCACTGTGGGCCCAGAGCCTGGAGGCCGTGACACTGACTCTGTGCGCAGCCACGAAAACACCACCCTGTTCTTTGTCTCCTGCTTCCAGTATGTGTTTGTGGCCCTCGCCTTCTCCAAGGGACGGCCCTTCCGGCAGCCCATCCAGACCAACGGTGAGGGGCTGGGTCGGCCAGATCACCGGGGTGGTTGCTGCGTGGGGGAGCCAAGGGTTGGGATTAACCTGGGTTTAGGTAAAGAATGGGTGCCCACCTTCTCCTGGGGCCGGGCGCGTGTGAAAATGCATCCCAGCCCGTCTGTCGCCTTTCACGAGCCAGAGAGCAGCTGTGGCTTTTCTTACGCAAGTCAGCAGCGGAAAAACCCAGGCCTCCCCGGGGGGTCGGTGGGGCAGCTGGGCG